GGGTTGGGGGTCGGCAACAGGCGGTGGCCTCGGAAGGCGGGGTTGTCGTGGTGGCGGCGGGCGTGGTCCTCGCAGAGTGCCAGCAGGCAGAGGGTGCAGGAAAGGGCAGCTGGGGGCCTGGCAGGCGTGGCGGGGCAGGCGTCACAGAGCGGGACACTCGGCCTGGCCCTGGCCCGCAGCTGCTCCGCCACCTCGGCCAGGCTCAGGTTGCGGCGCAGCGCCAGGGGGTCCGGGATGGCCCGGCGGCACTGTGGGCAGCGGCAGTCTCCCGAGGAATTCCAGTGGCGCCGGATGCAGGCCTGGCAGAAGCTGTGCCCGCAGGGCAGGGAGACGGGCTCCTGGAAGAGGTCCAGGCACACGGCACACACGAGCGCGTCCTCCAGCGCCGACGCCATGGAACTGGATAACTGAGACACTGGACACAGGAGACAGAGGCATGACTCTGACACTGGACACTGGAGACAGAGGAATGACTCTGACACTGGACACTGGAGACAGAGGAATGACTCTGACACTGGACACTGGAGACAGAGGGATGACTCTGACACTGGACACTATAGACAGAGAGACGGCTTTTTGACACTGGACACTAGAGACAGAGGGTGACTCTGTGACACTGGACACTGGAGACAGAGGGTGACTCTGTGAGACTGGACACTAGAGACAGAGGGATGACTCTGTGAGACTGGACACTAGAGACAGAGGGTGACTCTGTGACACTGGACACTAGAGACAGAGGGATGACTCTGTGAGACTGGACACAGGAGACAGAGAACAGCTCTGTGACACTGGACACAGGAGACAGAGGGTGACTCTGTGAGACTGGACACTGGAGACAGAGGGACGGGTTTGTGACACTGGACACTAGAGACACACGGCACACACAAGCACATCCTTCAACATGGACACCATAACACTGGATCGAAATCATTGTGACCCAGACACAGAGGTGCAGTCTGACCCAAAACAACCAACTACGAACACAAGACAGGTCACATTATTTCTGCTGATAATAAATCAGCAGAATCCTCAAAGAGAATTAAAAAAGGGTTGAGATCAAATTTAAAATTGGGCAAATACCTGGCAGATGGCGCTTAATGTAGAGAAGGGCAGAAGTTTACAAGCAGGTAGCAAGCACGCAAACTTAATATAAACTGGGAAACTCTCATCTAGAACAGCTGTTTTTGTTGAAAATTGTTTACATCTTCTAGACCAGTGGTTCTCAACCGGGGGGCCTCAGTTAACTTCCAAGGAGGCCGCAAGATGACTCAAAATAGCTGAAAAATATCAACAAGATGCTTCAATCCCTAAAAACACTGCGACTAATGGACGAAGCAAAAAAAAAAATCCCGTATAAGTTCATATCTGCAAGTATAATAAAACTTTTTTAGACAACATGTAGCCTCACATCATATTTCTTACTCTGATGAGAAATTAGGAACGTGACATGCCTCGCAGAGCTCTCCCTCGGACCAAATTGTTCACTGCGGCGCGTAACCTTGGCAACGTTTCGGTCAGAGTGGAATGGACACATTTTTAATTCGTCCGCCAAAACAACTTTCAGCCGAGCAACCCAAAACTCTCCCTGTCGCTCCCATCGCTGAGGGAAACACTCCAGGGCCGGATCCAGAGTTTGACGAAGCACCCGCAGCTCGCTACAAAAGGCAGAGGTGCTCAGCTAATGCAGGGCCGACAACACGTAGAAAACCTGACGCTAGTTACCTTAACTGTGGCTTTGTTTTGTTTTCCAAAAGCCAAGGTTTGCCTCAATGTGTAGTCTGTTCCCGAGTACTGTCCAACGAGTGAACGAGACCTTACAGACAAAACGTGACGAGGACAAAGACAAGCCCAGGTCATTTTATGCCTGAAAGGCAAAAAAAAACCCCGGATATAACGCACAAGCTGAAATGAAGGTAGCTACTGGGGTGGATAGGAAATGCCCGAAAATATCATACACCGTTTTTTAAGAATGAAAGAATGAAATACTCATTCAATATTTCCTTGAAAAAGTAATGGTGAAGCCGAGTGAGTAGTCAGTAGCTTTTGTTGTGAAGTTATGAAAAATGTCTGCAGTGACAAATTCTGTATTTTGGAAATTACTTATCATTATTATTTATGCCTCAGAAGTGCCTACGCATCTTATGTTATGATTAATTACTTTAGGCACCAGCAAAAAAACTCGTATTTAATAAACATACCGGCTCTTTTCGAAATGCCTATTCATTTTGTGTCATGTTGGAAACAACGAATGTTGGAAGCAGATACGTTTTGGTTAATTAACATGGTGCTGAAAACAAGTGCTTTTGCCATCATTACAGCAAAAGTACAAGAGGGAAAATGTCATGGCCTGTGTAGGGGGCCGCTCGAATATTCTCTTGGACACTTGGGGGACCTTGGAGGAATAAAGGTCAAGAACCACTGCTCTGGACAACGAAGGGAAGCAAATAAAAAGGAAAAAAATCAGATACTGAAGTATTTACAAAATCCTGAAAGGCACCGACAAAGTCAGCCCAGATGAGCTCTTCAAAACAAGCGGGGAAGCTAGTGTAAACTACAGGAATGGCTTTTAAAACCGAGAACCGGAGGCACTCCTTTGCACAAAGGGTGGTGGGAGTGTGGCACAGGCTGCGCAGTCGTGCTGTTGAAGGCAATACGCTGGTGTCTTTCAAGACACAGCTAGGTGAGATTTTGGACCAATTCGCGATTAATGGCCAAACGGGGCCCTTTTGTTTATAACCTGTCTTGTGTCGTTACAATGCAAAAGAAAGCGAATGCAGTAACATAACATAACATCACTTTATTAGCCCTGTACAATTTCTTGCATTAGGAATTCACCTTTAGCATACCCCTGCTTGATCTCCATGAGACACACAGACAGGGAGAGAACCCTGAGGTCAGAGCACAGGGTCAGCCATTTATACGGTGGCCCTGGAGCAGTTGGGGTGAAGGCCCTTGCTCAGGGGCCCAATGGAGTAGGATTCCTCTGCCGGCTATGGGATTTGAACCCGCAAGGGCAGCTGCTCACCCTCAGTTCCAAACCTGCTATGGCAAGAGCTTGCAGACCAAAAAGCGACGCAAACTCAGTTGCAGCTGCTGCCTGCAAGTCGAAAGAGACTCTTCTAGAAATTCGGAAGACTTTCAATATATTAACCAAACGTCTTCCCAAGAGCGAGGCAGCGAAGGAGCGACAGACTCACCACAGCGTGAAGGCAGCTTGTCGTGATGGGAGCAGGTCTCGTCCAGATCTCTGACTGTCTCGAAGCTCGCAGCCAAGACAGAGACGTGCTGCCTAGCCTGACCAGGTCTTCAACCCACCCACGCCCTTTTCCTGACTGTGGGCGGCACTGCTGGGATTGTGCGCAGACTCGTTCCTGTCGGCACATGTCAGGAGACAAAGAACAACAACACCTATTCAGGGAAAGACGAACCTGAATCTGCATGAGACAAAAGCTAAACTTCTGAACTGGTTACACAGACGGAGCCGGATGCACATCCTGGTGTGCTGTATGTGATGGCAGCTGCCAGGAACAGCCCTAAGGGCATCACGATTTAGACAGATGTTCGAAAAGATATCAAGATCTCTTATTAAAGGATTTCTCAAGACTGGACTTTGCCCAGCAACCGAAAGCTCCACTATGCAGAGAAACGCAGCTTAGAGACAAGTCTGGGTTTGACAGCAGCTCCGTCCCAGGTTAAAAACTGATTGATTTCCATGAGTACATACTGTAAACTCTAATCCCTGCCTCCGGCTCTCCCTAGTTTCCAGGAAAATACTCCATTCCAGCCCAGGGAGAGTCAGTAACCTACACAAGACAGTGAACAACAAACCAATAGGACAAAGGAGAAGACAATAAGAGGCTACCTCATTAGCAGGCACTGAAGATATTGCAATATCATAGCAGTTGCAGAGACCTGGCTTTCCAACAGTGACAGAGAAGAGTGTGACACTGGCAGATACACTCGGATACAGATGGCAGATACAGAGAGACAGGAAAGGCAGAAGAGGAACAAGTTTAGATCTGTATATCAAAAAAAGTGTGCAGGTTCAGGAGCCTGAGACTGAAGATAAGATCCAAGTAAGGGTACAATGACTTGCAAGCACAGGGTATAAAGGAAATTAGAGAGGTCGGGAGAGAGAGAGAAATATTGCATTGGAGGCAAAAATAAATAAGTTTTATCAATATGACAATGGCAAAAAGAAGCAGTAAAATGTGTCTGAGACAATAATGTGTATAAACCTGTAGGTTGTTATAGAGAAATGACTGAAGACAATTACTTCACTCAGGTCTTCAGTGAGGAAGAAGTCAACAACAGGCAGGCCCCAGGCAGAGGAAGGACAAGAGTCTGTAGCAGAGAGCATCACCATAGAAGAGGAAGAAGAGTTTTGGGTACTAGAATCTCGCAAGGTTAATAAATGCCCGGGGCCGATGGTACTGAATGAAACAAGAGCCGTAATTGGAATTCAATGACATAAGTCTTTCGGCAATCTCTCAGGTCAGGACTCGTACCAAGGACCTGGAGAACTGCTAAGAAAAAGTGACAAAAGTGACCCAGGTACATATAGATTAGGACATCTGACATCTATTACACACTCTATAAGGTAAGCAAAAAGCAGAAGAAGCCTGCTGGGTTGAGTTTGTCAGTGCTTTTGAGGATTTTTAATACTTATATTACTTGTATCAGGGCAGCACTTAGTCTTCTTTGGGGAAGACTTAAAAGACTCAATTTGTTTAGTCTTGTCAGTGTGGGACACTCCCTTCAGACTAAAGAGACAGTTCCTTCAGCCTGTCAGTGTGGGACACTGCCTTCAGACTAAAGAGACAGTTCGTTCAGCCTGTCAGTGTGGGACACTCTCTTCAGACTAAAGAGACTCAGTTCCTTCAGTCTGTCAGTGTGGGACACTGCCTTCAGACTAAAGAGACAGTTCCTTCAGCCTGTCAGTGTGGGACACTGCCTTCAGACTA